CGCGAGCGAGGCCCGGGCCTGTGATCGGCTGCAGCGCCACCGCGCGGCCGGGCGGAAGTATCGCAGGAACGGGAGAGGGGCGAGTTCTCGTCCTCTATGGGGGCGGGGCGCACCTGCCACTAACACAAATGTCGCTTCCCCCACGGCAACACGACTAGTTACATTCATGGCAAAATCGAGATCCAGAGAGGCGAGACGACTTGTCCAAAGCTGCACTCACAGTAAATTCTAGAGTCTTGCTTTGAGCAAAGGTAGGTCTGATTCCAAGGTCTGCTCTGTATTATTTTCCAGTGGACTGTACCCGGCCTTCTGGGATCAATTGAGTTCAGCAAACACTTTTGAGTGGCTACCCTATTCTAGGTAGCAGCATGCTATATTTTCCCACTTGTATGTCCCCCCTCCGGAACAGAGGAATAAGGAGGAAAGAATTTCTGAACACCAAGGATTATGGCATCCTTGGCCCGTCACTGCCCTTCCTTCTCCAGCATTGATGGAATCTGCAGAGGCGGAATTCACAACAGAGAGTCCCTGGCAAGGTGTGCTAGCCTTGTGGGTAATGGATTGGGCAGCCACTGTCACAGTGATTTGCAAGGCAGCAACTTATACTAAACTACCTCGTCCAGAAATAATTCGTGTCCACCTTAAATGCAGCTTGAAATTCTTACCATCAGACATGTGGGACAGGCTATTGTAATCTAGGAGACCAGGATTGAAATCCACCTGTTAAAAATGTAAACACTTGGTCGGGCAAGGTGGCTCAAGCCTGTAATCCTAGCACTTTAGGAGGCAGAGGTGAGAGGATTGCCTGAGCCCGCGGGTTTGAGGCCAGCCTGGGCAACTTGGTGAGACCTCATCTCTACAATAAATCAAAAAATTGGCCGGGCATCATGGTGCATGCCTGTAGTTCCAGCTACTTGGAGACTGAGGCGGAAGGATCGCTTGAGTCCAGCAGGTCGAGGCTGCGGTGGCCAGGAGCATGCCACTGCCCTCCAGCCTGGTGACAGAGTAAGACTCCAACTCAAAAAAAGAAAAAAAAATGTAAACACTTGGTCAGGCGAGGTGGCTCAAGCCTGTAATCCTAGCACTTTGGAAGGCCGAGGCAAGAGGATTGCCTGAGCCCAGGAGTTTGAGACCGGCCTGGGCAACTTGGCAGGACCTCGTCTCTACAATAAATCAAAAAATTAGCCGGGTGAGGTCAGAATCCCACTCCTGTGGCCCACTCCTGTGGTCCCAGCTACTTGGAAGGCTAAGGCGGAAGGATCACCTGAGCCCAGCAGGTAAACAATGGGGTGGCTGTGAGCATGCCACTGCACTCCAGCCTGGGTGACAGAGTGAGATTCTGACTCAAGAAAAAAAACAAAAATGTAAACCCTTGGTCATCCTGTATCCAGAAGACCAGAGCAGCCCAAAGCAAAGGGTCCTGAGCTAAGGGCACTTAAGACAGAGTTTTTGGTGAGGAATGGGACAGTCTGAGTGATCCCTGAAGTAAAGTACAGATAGCATGAGGGAGGGAAGGCTGTCCCTCAAAAAACTGACTAGGACAAAAGGCCTGGGGACAGAGAAATGGAATAAAAACAAGATACATTTTTCTCTCTCACAATTTTTTCCAAAGCAATTCTAAAAAAAGATGGTGGCGTTATACCACATTTATAAAAACTATCTTTCCAGATACCCACCAACAAGAAAAAAAAAGGACCCAGAATAAAAGCAAAACCAAATACAGAGAGAACTCAGGGAACCAAGTCACATGTCTCCTTTCTGGGCGTGGCTGTTAGACAAGGTTCTGGAGACCTGACAGGTCCCCTGGCCCTAGCCTGGAGGGCACCCAGCTCCTGGGGACAAAGGAAGGAGAGGGGCAGATTCTGACCTCACTGGCCCCACCCACCCTCCCTGCTGGCTTAGTTGAAGTGGAGGAGGGCACCCCATGGCACTGTTTTATCTGACCAGGCTCCCTTGATGGAAAGGTGTGAGGCTGAGAGGCAACAGGCCTCCCAGCTCTGACCTGAGAGAAAAAAACTATTGCTGGCTCAGAAAACGAAGACCTGACCTTCTCAACAAAGTGGCTGTCTCTCCCCAAATGGAGGAACAAACCCAGAACCCAGGACCGCTTTAGATCTGGTTCATCACATGCAGGTGTTCAGCAAATTCAGAGAGAGACTCAGCGGTAACAAGCTCTCCAGAGCAGGCTGCCCAGGAATCTAGTTTCTACCACACCCTCTCTAAGTAACTCAGGCTGAACAAGAAACAAGCTATTAGCAGCCAGGCTTCCATCGTGGGTGGAGGCTATCTAGGGATGCCTTGATAAACAGAGAAGGGATCAAAGCATATTTGGGAGCAAAAGTGAGGATAGAATGGTCCCCATTCAAAGGTGAGTAAACAACAAAAGCAGCACAAAAGACAGGCAAGATTGCTATTGCAAGAAAACAATAATATTAAAGAAAAGGGCACAGCAGGGAAGGTCGGGAGCAGTGGCTCATGCCTGTAATCCCAGCACTTGGGGAGGTCAAGGTGAGAGGATTGCCTGAGCCCATGGGTTCGAGACCAGCCTCAGCAACTTGGCGGGATCTTGTCTCTACAATAAATCAAAAAATTAGTCGGGTGTGGTAGCATGCACCTGTAGTTCCAGCTACTTGGAATACTGAGGCGGAAGGATCATCTGAGACCAGCAGGTCGAGGCTGTGGTAGGCGACAGAGTGAGACTCTGACACAGACAAACAAACAAACAGAATATCTTGGAAGACTCTTGGAGAAAACAGAAGAAAATTTCAGTTAATAACTGCTTCACACTCTCAAGGAAGTCAAAGAAAGCCTGATTTCTGTGTTCAATGGGTACACAATGGATTGGAATAAAAGGGAACTGGTGGAGTTACAGAAAACTGTGAAAGAGACAATCACGTACATCACAGAGACACAGAAACCAGAGCAAAGCAGGGAGATGGAGCAAGGACTCAGGAAAATCAAGATAAGTGCTGCTTGTATAAAGTTTGTCAAACAAACTGCACTTTAATCTTTGCAGCAGCCCTTCCAGGTGAAAATTGGCACCCATGTTGTAAGGGGATAAGCTGAGGGACACCCAGTGACAAAGTGCAGAGTAGAGACTAAACTTCAGCCTGACTGCCAATGCCCTGCCCATTAAACACCACAAGATTAAACATTCCATCTTTGTTGTTTGTTTTTTCAAGTCGGAGTCTCACTCTGTCGTCCAGGCTAGAGTGCAGTGGCACACTCATGGCCACCGCAGGCTCGACCTGCTGGGCTCAGGCTTCCTTCCACTTCAGCCTTCCAAGAAGCTGAAACTACAGGCACACACCACCAAGTCCGGCTAATTTTTTGATGTATTGTAGAGACGAGGTCTCACCAAGTTGTCCAGGATGGTCTCGAACTCGTGGGCTCAGGCAGTTCTCTCACCTCTGCCTCCCAAAGTGCTGGGATGATAGGAGTGAGCCACTGCGCCTGGCCAACGTTCCATCTTTATTTGAATGCCATTCGAATCGTCTCAATCCTGTGGCCAACAGCCAGATACTGGAGTCAGGAATTAAAGAAATTAGGCAAATTCTCTCAATGGGAGAAGCAGCCCCTGAGTGTGTGCTATAGGATTTTACCCAAAATGGGAGGTATAATAGACAGATTATGAAAGAACTGGATCAAGGGACACAGGGTTGCAAACAGTCCCAGCTTAAGAGATAGACCTAGAGTGTCCCACTGCCCTAAATAGCAACCCAGTACAACTCTCTTTGCCACAGGTGTAACCAAGTATCTTAGATTTAAAATGCGGGCTGGGCCCAGTGGCTCATGCCTATAATTCCAGCACTTTGGGAGGCTGAAGTGGAAGGACTGCTTGAGCCCAGGAGTTTGAGACCAGCCTGGGCAACATAAGGAGACCTTGTCTCTACAAAAAAATAGAAAAATTGGCTAGGTGTGGTGGTGCATACACCTGTAGTCCCAGCTATTCAGGACACTGAGGCAGAAGGATCGCCTGGGTCCATGAGGTTGAGGCTGCAGTGAACCGAGATCTCACCACTGCACTCCAGCCTGGGCGACAGAGAGAGAGACCCTGACTCACAAAAAATAAGTTAATTAAATCAAATGTGTTTTAAAGTTTGTTGTTTCCCTCTCTCTCAATATTAAGCCTTGAAACATGTTTTAGAACCTCCTTTTCACCATTCACGCTTATCTGACTATATGCTTGCTTAGAAATCCCAGGGGCTAGTCTTAAAATAGCCTGACTGTGGGGCCTCCCACTTGGGGAGAGTCACAGGAGATGTTTGATCCATAACCTGACTGCAACTGAGATAGCACCATCCAGACCTCTGGGAGGACTACCACCAAGATAAGATGTTAAGACACACCCTCCAGTCTGGCCAAAATAGCAAGACCCCATCTCTAAAAAAAAAAAAAAAAAATGTAGCCAGGATGGTGGTATGTGCCTGTAGTCTCAGCTACTAGGGAAGCTGAGGCAGGAGGATTGCCTAAGTCCAGGAGGTCAAGGCTGCAGTGAGCCATGATCATGCCACTGCACTCCAGTTCGGGTAATAGAGTGGGACCGACTCAGAAAAATAAACACCCATGCCACATCTGCATGCCAAGTTTCCCTTTTCAAGCCCTTTCACTCAATCTAAAAATCAGAAATGGTTTCTTTGAGGCATGAGTCTGGCCAGTTTCCCACCTGCCAGCTTTTGGAATAAAATCACCTTTCTTCCATTGCATCTGGTGCTTGTTTATTTCAGCATACAAGCAAGGAGTAGCCAAACTTGTGTCAGTTACACAGGCAGGGCTACCTTGGGTACCTGCAGCTCTGGAGTCTGTGTCTGAGTTTCACATCTCCTTACTCTAAGCAACCACAGCCTGCCTGAGAAAGTAATATAGACACTAAATTGTCCACCCAGTCACCTCAGTTTGCTTGAGATGACAAAATGTTCTTTTCTTAAGTGTCTTTTCATCCCAGAAAGGTTAAATCTAAGAATATCCAGCATGTGTTTGTTATTTAAAGTCTTTAAGGCTGGGTGCGGTGGCTCACACTTATAATCCCAGCATTTCAGGAGGCTGAGGTGAGAGGATTGCCTGAGCCCACGGGTTCAAGACCAGCCTGGGCAACTTGGCAAGACCTCGTCTCTCTGATAAATCAAAAAATTAGCTGGGTGTGGTGGCGCATGCTTGCAATCTCAGCT